GCACCACGGCTATCTGTGTCACTCTGTTCAAAGGGAAAATCCCCACTACACATCATGCAGCTGACGCTACGTGGAATAAGTGGGTAGCGAAAAGGGAAACCTAACCGCCCAGGAATCCTGGAAGAGATTGTGCACTGGCCAGAAGGCAGAGATTTCAGAATATTGACGAAAGAGGTAACTCATGCTGAAAAGGCACCATCATATATTGAGTTGCCAGAAAACAGAAAGCAGTATGTGTTGTTCACTGACGGATCCTGCCGTGTGGTAGGGAGCCATCGGAAATGGAAAGCTGCTGTGTGGAGTCCCACGCGACGAGCTGCGGAGGCCACGGAAGGGGAAGGTGAGGCAAGTCAGTATGCAGAAGTGAAAGCCATCCAACTGGCCCTAGAAATTGCCGAAAGATAAAAATGGCCAGTACTGTATCTCTACACTGATTCGTGGATGGTGGCAAATGCTCTGTGAGGGTGGCTACAGCAATGGAAACAGAGCAACTGGCAGTGCAGAGGGAAACCTATCTGGGCTGCTGCATTGTGGCAAGATACTGCTGCCTGGGTAGAAAACCTGGCTGTAAAGGTGCATCATGTAAGTGCTCACGTGCCCTAGGGTCACACCACTGAAGAACATCAGAATAATGAAGAGCTGGACCAAGCTTCAAAAACTGAAGCGGCTCGGGTACAACTGGACTGGGGACGTAAGGGTGAGCTTCACACACCATCATGGGCCTGGAAAGGCACGTGCTGTGGCATCAGGGTACACCAGAAAGAATTGAGTCCGACAATGAGAGTCACTTCCAAAACAACCTTGTCACCTCCTGGGCCAAGAGCCATGGTATTGTGTTGGTGTATCCCATCTCCTGTCACCCACACACCTCTGGGAAGGTTGAGAGGTACAAGGTTAAAGACCATGTTAGGAGCATTGGGTGCTGGGACATGGAAACAATGGGACATAAATCTACCAGAGGCCACTTGGCTAGTTAACACCAGAGGGTCTGACAGCCGTGCTGGTCCTGCTGAAACAAAACCCCTACACACTGTGAGAGGAGCCAAAGTCCCTTTTGTGCATGTAGGGAAGTAGTTGGGGAAGGTGGTGTGGGTTGCTTCTGCCTTGGGAAAAGGCAAACCCACTCGTGGGATTGTCTTCGCCCAAGGACTGGGGTACACCTGGTGGGTCATGCAAAAGGATGGGGATATCAGGTATATGCCTCAATGAGATTTAACCTCGGGAGAAAACTAATCTGTAATCTAAGTTATGTGTTGTAGGAAGACACTGCAGGATCGATGACAAGTCAACTTCACAAGGAACCTGGCAAGTGCAGCAATGACTCGAGCTAAGCTGGTGCTGGCGTCCAGAAATCCAACTCCACTTGCCCTGAGTGACCACTTTGACAGATGAAGAGTAGATCATCAACAGTTCTTATGAACATTTTGGGGAGAGGCCTATGGATTGAGAAGAAGTACCTATCTATAAATCTGTTAAAGGACAGGGAACAATAGTGATGAGAATACTTATATGTTAAATCACATGGGATAGAGTGTGACACAAATCTTATGGAATGAGGGGTGGAGGTTGTGCTGGCTCTGGCTGGGATGGAGTTGGATGGGTCTGGCTGGGATGGAAAAAGGAAGAAGGGAGGGGTGGGCTCTCATGAAAGCATCTGTCTTCCCAAACAACTGCTACGTGTGTCAAGACCCTGCTTCAAGGATGTGGTTAAGCATTGTTCATGGATGGGAAGTACAGAGTAATTTCTTTCCTCTCTTTGTGTGCTTCCACACAACCTTTTTTTTTTTTTTTTTCCCCTCTTTCTTTTCCCTTTAGTTACATTATGTAATTTTCTCTTAATAATAATTTTCCCTTAATAATTATTTTCCCTGTAATTAAATTCTCCTTATCTCAACCTGTGATTTTTTTTTTGTCTTCTTCCTCTCCTCTTCTGAGGAGGGGGAGTGAGAGGTTGTTGTGGAGTTCAGCTGCCTAACAAGATAAAACCACCACGCTTGCATACCACATTAAGCTGTTCCAGTAAGACTGGCCTCACAGCTGATCCAGCTGACTTTTGTTCTTTTCTGAGGAAGTGAGTTTAGAAAAGGGAGGAGGAATGCAAAATGACACGCACTACTCTTGTTCCCAGTCTAAGCTGTGAGCTAGAGCTGCCTGCAGGATGGTAAGTCCATTTCACAGAGACTTTCACATTTAGGAATGCTGTTTTTAATCTGCATGAGAACCAAATCAGGGTTCTTCAATATTCAAGCATAACTAAAAAGAGAGGAGAAACAGAGATGTCTTGAGCACAAAAAATGAAGACGGGGCAACCTCAAACTCTTTGTCTTCACTAAAATCTTAGGGAATTGTTCTCCAGCTGCATCAGCCAAAATAGACACGTGGTCAAACTGTCGGTATCACAAGAGTATTCACCTTCTCAAGAAAACACTAAAGCAACAGTAAAACAAAAAACACTAATGCAACAGTAACTATTTCAAAGGAAATTTTGGTAAAAGATGTGTAAATGAAGAGGGTCCTCACTCTTCTTCCAGCTTTCCTTCTTTCTTAATTAAAAAACAAAAAGTCATAGCAATTAAAGTAATAGCAAAGCTGATAGTTTAATGCTTTGCGGATCAACTCTGCTAAGCTAGAGTGACAATTCTTTGCCCTTGGTCCTTTCTCTTTGCATACAGAAGGAGAGAAGTCAGATACCAGTCAGGGAACCTATTTAACAGCACCCACATTCAGAGTATGCTTTCTTACCTCCTGGATGGTCAAGAATCATCACAGAAAGCAGTACACCTCCATTTACACTGTAATCTAAGAGTCAGGGTATTTTGGAGTAGGCACTTGCTTAGGTGCTTGTTTCCTTTAACCCTATGACTCCTTCCCTTAGTTGACACTACAGCCACCAGGACTTCAACCAATATAAGGAAGAGCATTAGCTGTACAAGCTGTAATGAAACCAATGGAAAAACGGAAAATGCCTTCACTTTGTGGTGTTGTGTGATTATTATTTTTTTTTCCATAGAGTTATGTTTATGGACAACCTCTGTTTTTTGACCTGAAGTGGGCATCTCTGCATGCTCTCCCATGACAGATATTTTAAGCATCTTAATCTAACTATCTACACTGTTTATGACAAAGCAGACGTACAAATCCCTTAGAAAGCAGCCCTCATATCCAGCTGGTCCATCTCTGCACTGGCCTCTGCACCCTATGGAGCAGCATTGGCTCTCTCATCGTGCTGGGGCAGTGATGAGGATGGTCTGTCCCTCAGTTTGTCATCTCTAAACCAGTGGAAACTCCATTTGGCTGGCTCACAGAGGTGTTGTCAGGCTGGCTAGCTGTGCTTATAGGGCTTACAATCATACGACGTGCTTGTCTGGGAGTGCTTGATACCAGAGGAGTGAGTGAGGAGCACACAGGAACAGCCAGACTGAGGGTGAATCCCAGTTCTGTCCTCCCACAGTAGATTTACAAATGGCAGAAGAGTGCTAAGAGCTACAATGAACATAAACCATATCCATTTTAGGAAGTCTACCATGCTTTTTCCATGTTTTTATCGGGGGAAAAAAAAAAAAAAAAAAAAAAAAAAGAAGTTGTAAGGTAACATAAAGTTGGCATATGAATTACCTTCAGTGGGAAAGTACTGACATTTATAAAGCTCTGAAATGCTGAAATGTAATGAAGTGGTGGGATATGACTAATTAAACTAAAATCTTTGAGCTGGCCAGAAGTCTTATTTATCCAGCAGCTGAAAGTTAAAGCTCTAGCCCTTCCCTATTTCCTTATGTTAATGAAATGGCATCAGAGCTGATTTAAGGCAAACAAATCGCTCTCCTCCTCCCCATATGGCTGTAAAACTCCTACCCATTCATTTCAGCGCTGTTGTATAACCACTTAATTACTTCCTTATTAACAGCATCGATTTCTAAGACCACTCATCCAAGTCTGTGGGCAACACCAAGCTGTGTGGTGTGGTCGACACGCTGGGCTGTCATCCAGAGGGACCTGGGCAGGCTCGAGAGGTGGCCCTGTGTGAACCTCACGAGTTTCAACAAGGCTGAGTGAAGGGTCCTGCACCTGGATCGGGGCAATCCCAGAGACTAATAGGGGCTGGGTGGAGAACGGATTGAGAGCAGCCCTGAGGGGAAGGGCTTGGGGGTGTTGGTTGATGAGAAGCTCAACGTGAGGCAGCAATGTGTGCTTGCAGCCCAGAAAGCCAACCGTGTCCTGGGCTGCATCAAAAGAAGAAAGGTGTGAAGAGAAGAAAAGCACCAGAAAGGTGTGGACCTGCTGGAGTGAGTCCAGAGGAGGGTATGAGGCTATGAGGATGCCCAGAGGCCTGGAGCTCGTCTCCTGTGAAGACAAGCTGAGGGAGTTGGGGTTGTTCAGCCTGGAGAAGGCTCCAGGGAGACCTTAGAGCAGCCTTCCAGTATCTTAAGGGGGGCTGCAGGACAGCTGGGGAGGGACTCTGTCAGGGAGTGTAGTGATAGGACGAGGGGTAGTGGCTTTAAACTAAAATAAGGTAGATGTAGATTCGATATCAGGAAGAAATCCTTTATTGCAAGGGTGCTGAGGCACTGGGTTGCCACAGAAGCCGCGGACGCCCCATCCCTGGAGGTGCCCGCGGCCAGGCTGGATGGGGCTTTGGGCGACCCGCTCTGGTGGGAGGCGTCCGGGGCGGAGGTCGCTCGGTGGGTCCGCCCGCCCCCTGTCCTTCTCCTCCGGCTCTGTGGCTCCACGACCAGCCCTGGCGGCTCCCGGGGAGGCCGGGCAGGAAGAGGAGTGGCCGCCGGGCCCCACCTGCGCCCCGCCGCCTCCAGCTCCAGGTGCTGAGGCGGAAGAGCTGAGGGAGCCGGCGCCCGCCTCAGGAGATGGCGGGGGGCCGGGCGCTGGCCGCGCTCCTCGCCGCCCTCCTCGCCGCCTCGGCGCAGCCCCCCCGGCGGCAAGGTAGGGGCTCCGGGACGGGACGGGAAGGGAAGGGAAGGGAAGGGAAGGGAAGGGAGCTGTGTTACCTGTAAGGAGCTGCTGCGGGGTGAGCGGTGCCGGGAAGTTTCCAGGTGGAAAAAAAAAGAAGCTTTTATGGGAGCAGCACGGGGAGCCCGGCTGGGGTACCTGGGGTGAGAGGGGCACAGCTCGCACCAAGCGCAGCCGTGCGCTGCTCCAGCTTCCTGGAGGCGCCCTGAAATCCCACTGCCTGTGGGCACATCCCTACAAGAGTCCCCATTGGGAACGCGAAGATGGTTCTTGGGGTTTTCCTCCGTTTCAGAAAGCCGCTCGGTTGCCAAAAAGGCAGGGTGTGAGTTAGGAGGTTCGTGCTCATCCTCAAATCCAGCTGGTCCGTCTTATATCCACGGGCCCTGTTCAGGACCCTGGAAGTATGACTCCACACAAAATAAACACCGAGGTACGTGCTGTGACTACGAACAACCCGAGGAGCCTGCCGCGAGTCGGACCTCTAACGCTTCTGTTACTTCTGGCTTCACTTGCTGTGCTGGTGTGTGGCTCGAAGCCATCATTATAAGCAATGCAGTCTAAGGGTTCGCTGCGAAATTGGGCAGCTCTGAGGGTTAAGTTTCAAGCTGCATAGTCTAAAACTTTAAAGAAAATCATTTACTGCCTTTCTTCTAAGTGAAATTAATGACAGCTGTCCTGTCTTCAAAGGATAAAGGAAGAGTGTTGTGCATTGTTTGCAGAGAGAAGAAACTTTAAAAGCCCAGAGGTGGATCTGTGCTAGAAGGAGAGGAGCCAGACTTTCTAAAGGTCTTTCATTGCTGAAGTAGCAAATGAAAAAATCACAACTATATCTTTTCTCATATCTAGGCATTCAGAGGGAAACAGAGCAGCCTACTAATGATATTCTCCCTCTGAACTACCCTTATGCTGTCCATTCATACATAATTCCTCGTTCTCTGGTCAAACCATCTTATCAAAATATTTTGTTTCCTTTTTTCCCCATCAGTCTTCTTGATGCCTCACATTAAACTTCCTGGGCTTGCTTTTGAGGTGTGCTACAGCTCTGTTGGAGACATTGTCTTTGATTTTATTGCTTCTTGTTGTCATCTGCTCCAGCATCTTCCCCTCCATCACGTTTAAAACATCCAAACTTGAAGTCAGCACACATGGATGCGGTTCCTGTTTTAAAAAATCAAGTTAATACTTGCTTTATGCAAGAATGAAAGCTCATGTTGGAGGCAGCACAGAGCTGAGCCCATGCTGTTAGTTTTTGGTTGGGTATAGCATGAGGAGGCTGGGTGGTGGTGGTGGTGAGAGCGGTGCGTTCCCTGGAAAGCCAAGCAAATCTGCTTTGTGTGTGTTAGGTGCTAGCTCTGGTCAGTAACTGGTGAAACCAAAGCTAGTAGAAGTGCAGATAAGACTGCTGGAAGAGCCGATGGTTTGCTGCCTGAGTCTCAGCAGCACGGTGGGTTGGAGGGTGGCGTGGTGAGAGCGGGGCAGGAGGGGAACCGCGCCTTGCCAGGTTTGGTGAGCACATCTTGCATGCCTGGCGTGTTCTTCATGCTGGGAGTTACTCCTGTCATTACGCAACCAAAACTGAAGCTGAAACGTTTCCCTTAGCAAAGGTTCATCCCGAAAACCTGATACTTCAAGTTAATTTTTCCCCCTGCATCTTTACGTGTTGTGTAATTTTTAAGGAGTTCCCTTTGTCCCGGTGCTGACAGTGGTGCTGGCTCTGCCACTGCATGCAGACATGGGCTCTGTGCACAAAACCACACGCCAGGTGACATTGAGGTACGTGCATCTTCTCTTGTGCCCTGGTGGGACAGCTACGAGTCTTGGTGCACGCATCTTTACAGCTGTTTCTCGTCATCCTCAGAGAAATCCCTTCTTTTCTCCTCCCTCCAACATTTCCCAGCCCACGTGGTGCTGTTGTTACTTCCTGTAGGAACATGCACGTCAACCATGACCAGTCACGTTGTCTTCAGTTGCGTCTGTGGTTTTTCTTCGGATGCAACTTCAGGCATAATGTAAATTGTTAAATAAAACGTTGGTTAACTTCTAGGTGGAAAAGTAGAGGAAAGTATTTGGTGCAGTTGCTGTGTGTAGATGTGGGAGTGCGAATGAAGTATTACATACCTGACCTTTTAAAATGTGTTTCCTAGTTAAAATATGTCTCTGAAGCAGTAGTAATGAAGTTAATCATACTTTTATGAAGACTATAAAACAGATATTTCAGATTTAAAGTATCCTTAAGTGATACGTGTTTCTGGATTTGTGTTTCAAGCGTCTTTGCTGTAATAAGTGAATTCATGGATAAAAATGCATTGTTTCTTGCTCTGCCCTCCAGGTACCTTTTTCTTCCCAAATGACTAATTCAAGTCATGCATGAATCTAAATAAAAGCTGCTGCTTTTAGAAAAGCAAGCTGTTATCAGACATATTTATGGTGTTCTGATTTAGCACTGACAGAATATAAACAACCAGCCCCTTCGTGCTCCCTTTGAAAGGCCCTGCGAGCTGGGTTATTTCCGTTCCAAATTGCTGCGTTGCTTGTTGGATCGAAATCTCTCCTTTTAAGACCACAACTGATGCACATGAGTATGTGGTTGTAGTGGTTTTTGCTTGTCTCGTATCCTTATCAGTCCCAAGCGCTTAGTTTTTACTCTCTAGAAATATGTGTATGGTTATACCCAGTTCTGGTTGTACTAGCTTAAATTTTCACCAGGAATATACGTGTTCATATTTTAGATAAGTTTTGGATTTCACATCTAATAAACCTCAGGAGAAGGTTAGGCAACTTTTCACTTAGTTTATTATATAAATATTTCATATCAGAAATAGTGCAAGGAGCTGTTCTTTGCTGAGAACAAAAGCAAGATGCTTTGGCCTTTACCTGTGTTGACTGCTGCAGCCATGAGGCAAAAGCTAACCTCTGGAAGGAGGGCACCAGGAGGATCTTTGGCAGCAGTAAACTTTGGGACCTGTGACAGGAACAGTGTGGTTGCAAAACAGTGTAAGTGATAGATGGAAAGCTTTTTTCCTTCTTCTTTTCATCAGTTTCTCATTATTGACTTTTTTATATTTTTTTTAATCTTTTTTTCTTCATTCTTGGACCTTGTTTCGTCTTTCTGTGCTCTGTTATTTAAAAGTATCTGGCCTTGAAATGATGCTAAATAAATTTTATGGTGCTTTACTTGTCTCTGTCACACCTGAGAAGTGAAATGTGTGTGTTCCTGCAGATCCCCGCCAGGCTAGGTGCTGCATTGCCTCGTTAGGAGGGTTTCTGTATATTGTGTGCGCTGCATTTCCCCCGTGCGTTGGCAGACAGATGGCATCTCCGCTGGATCCGCAGTTAGTTAATGACTTAATTATAACTGTGTCTATTCAGAAGAGCAAGTGCAAGGAGAACGACTGGGAGAGGAGCGGAAAGAAACAAACAAACCTTGTTTCTTGGAATTGATTGAGGTAAAATACGGCCTTCTCCAGGTCCTGGGGAGTGACAGAGGCGTGCATTTGGGTGAGAAGTTGTATCCCCGTGTTCAGATCCTGCGTCCTGTAGCTGGATGGTGAGCTGAGAGCTCCTTGCATGGCTCAGCCTGTGTCCTTTTTCCTAAGCTTCCATTAAAATCTGTACAATTACACATTCTCAACTGATTTCTATAATTTATAGACCTGTGCCCAGCTGAGGGTAGGATTATTATTATTTTTTTTTTGCCTCAGCGAGGCTGCTCTGGTATTATGGTGACCAAACCTTAGCTCTGGAGGGGAGAACACACCTGCTGCAGCACAGGAGGATTTGCTGCCCCGGTTGGAGCCAAACCACCACCGATTCCTGAGGAGCACCTGGTGACTTTTGGCAGCCTTTAGTAGGACTTTAGTAGTCTGGACATCGCCCCTTGGCTCAAAAACTTCTCTGGCATGATGGAGGTGTGAATGTGCGGGCTGCTGCTGTTCGGGACCCACTTGGGTCACTAGGGTGCAAAGGAAAGGAGGTTGTGCTGCCCTTAGCCAGCTGCTGGCTGTACCACGGCAAAATCTTCTGCTTCTTTATTAGCTGATGGCAGAGGCGAGGGCTGGCTGAACCTGGCCAGTGTGGATGGCATTGATGGGAGGCAGCTGAAGAAACGTGCCATAACTTCTGGTGGATGTGCAAAAAGCTTTGCTTCTTGATTTCTTGGGGTACAAAGGGAGTGTGGCCACTCTGTCAGACCGAGGGCTTGTTTCGAGGGGTACGATCATGCCAGCATTTCGGAGTTGGCCCCGGCTGTTCGGGATTCATGGGTGGAACCGAGAGATCAGCGTGTGAAGATGGGCAAAGTGCCAAGTGTGGAAATGGGTGATGTGAAGTTCCTCAGAAAGGAGAGACGAAGAGCTGTCGGCAGGATGTTTGGCGTGGGAGGGACTGCTGGTTGTGAAATGCGCTCCTCCACCGTGGTTAACCAGAGCCAAGACTGAAGAGCTGCACAGGCATGCTCCGAGATGCTGTCCTCTCGCCGGCTCACATCAACCCAGGGATAAGCCGTGTAAGCAAACATCCCTTTGATCGAGGGAGGCTCCTGCAGTGACTTGCACCTTGTCTTTGTGGTTCTCCTGCCAGTGTGGTGTTTCCTTGGGTTGTACAGACCCGTGCCTCTTACACTTTGTACGTTGTACATGGGCTGGCAGTTTACAAATAGCGTTTGCTGAGCTCCACTTCCTACATCAACAGAAGCAACAGAAGTCAAGTAATGGAAAAAGGAAAAAGCCCACAGTCAACGCTCTCCCTTCTGTAATCACAAATAACCATGCCAAGTCCCAAAGTGTCTTTTTTTTTTTCCCCCCACTTTTGTTGAAAAAGCTTTTTGTGAAAATGTCTTTCACACATGACTTATGAGTGTCTTAATTCACTTTCTGGAAAGGTTCTAGGGGAGAGGGGGATAGAATGACTGAAACTTGAGTAATTACTTAGTTATTTTTTGAGATCAAGGTACTTCATGCCTGGGAGGCATTGCAAATTAACCTGATGAATTAACTGCCTTTGAGTGAGCAGCCTCGCCGGCCGTGGTGGCTCATGCCACCGCTCCCCTGCACAGATCCTGCTGGGAGGAGAGTGGGGAGCACAACATCTCGCCCCCCTGCCCATGGGTATAAACCTTGGGTGAAGATGAGGGGACCCTGGTGTGGTGGCTGAGGAATCGGGTGCCATCTCCTGGGATGACAGTCGTCAGCAGCATCCGTCCCGAAGCGTGCAGAAGCTCTGCAGATTTGAGGCTGTAATTTCCTGCAAATAATTTCACAAAACACGGACCTCATCCCGTGGCGCTGGAAGATGGGAAGTCGTTAAGCAATCAGCAGAGTAGTTAGTTTGCATTTTAAGTGTAAACAAAATTCCCGTTTGCTTTAGAAAGCCTTCAGCAGAAAGGACTTGGGCAGCCGACAGGGTTGGCTGTAATTTATGATTGTGATAGCGATCTCCGTTTGCTGCTTACAGCTCTGTTTAGGAGCTGAGAAGAGTGTTATAAACAGTGTGTGGGGCCCTGGC